TGAGATGTTATCCAAACTGAAGGCTGTGGTCTTCATCAGTAAGTGCTTCAAGTCCTCTTCACTTTCAGCAAGCAAGGTTGTGTCATCTGCAAATAGGTTGTTAATGCATCTTCCTCTAATCATGCTGCCTCACTCTTCATCATAGAGTCCAGCTTCTCAGATTATTTGCTCAGCATACAGATTGAATAGGTATGGTGAAAGGATACAACCATGACACACTCCTTTCCTGACTTTAAACCACACAGTATCCCCTTGTTCTATTCGAACGACTGCCTCTTGATTTGTGTACAGATTCCTCGTGAGCGCAATTAAGTGCTCTGGAATTCCCATTCTTCAAAATGATATCCATAATTTGTTATGATCCACAAAGTTGAATGCCTTTGCATAGTCAATAAAACACAGGTAAACATCTTTATGGTGTTCTCTGCTTTCAGCCAGGATCCATATGACATCAGCAATGATATCCCTGGTTCCACATTCTCTTCTGAATCTGGCCTGAATTTCTGACAGTTCCCTGTCAATATACTACTGCAGCTGCTTTTGAATGTTCTTCAACAAAATTTTACTTGTGTGTGTTATTAGTGATATTGTTCGATAATTTCCACATTCAGTTGGATCACTATCTTGGGAATAGACATAAATATGGATCTCATCCAGCTAGTTGGCCAGGTAGCTGTCTTCCAAATTTATTGGCATAGATGAGTGGGCACTTCCAGCGCTGCATCAGTTTGTTGAAACTTCTCAATTGATATTCCATCAATTCTTGGAGCCTTTTTTTTCGCCAATGCCTTCAGTGCAGCTTGGACTTCTTTCTTCAATACCATAGGTTCCTGATCATATGCTACTTCCTGAAATGGTTGAACGTAAACCAATTATTTTTGGTATGACTCTGTATATTCCTTCCATCTTCTTTTGATGCTTGCTGCGTTGTTTAATATTTTCCCCATAGAATCCTTCGCTACTGCAACTTGAGTCTTGAATTTTTTCTTCAGTTCTTTCAGCTTGAGAAATGCCGAGTGTGTTCTTCCCTTTTGGTGTTCTAACTCCAAGTCTTTGCACATGTCATTATAATACTTTGTCTTCTTGAGCTGCCCTTTGAAATCATCTGTTCAGCTCTTTGACTTCATCAATTTCTTCATTTCGCTTTAGCTACTCGACGTTCAAGAGCAAGTTTCAGAGTCTCTTCTGACATCCGTTTTGGTCTTTTCTTTCTTTCCTGTCTTTTTAATGACCTCTCGCTTTCTTCCTGTGTGATGTCCTTGATGTCATTCCACAAATCGTCTGGTCTTCAGACATTAGTGTTCAACAAGTCAAATCTATTCTTGAGATGGTCTCTAAATTCAGGTGGGATATAATCAAAGTCGTACTTTGGCTCTCTTGGACTTGTTCTAATTTTCTCCAGTTTCAACTTAAACTTGTATATGAGCAATTGATGGTCTGTTCCACAGTCCACCCCTGGCCTTGTTCTGACTGATGATATTGAGCTTTTGCATTGTCTCTTTCCACAGATGTAGTCGATTTCATTCCTGTGTATTCCATCTGGTGAGGTCCATGTGTATAGTTGCCATTTATGTTGCTGAAAAAAGGTATTTGCAATGAAGAAGTCGTTAGTCTTGCAAAATTCTATCATGCAATCTCCAGTATGGTTTCTATCACCAAGATGATATTTCCAACTACTGATCCTTCATCTGTTTCCAACTTTTGCATTCCAATCACCAGTAATTATCAGTGCATCCTAACTGCATGTTCAATCAATTTTAGACTGCAGAAGCTGGTAAAAATCTTCAATTTCTTCATCTTTGGCCTTAGTGGTTGGTGTGTAAATTTGAGTAATAGTTGTATTAACTGGTCTTCCTTGTAGGCATGTGGATATTAGCCCTATCACTGACAGCATTGTACTTCAGGATAGATCTTGAAATGTTCCTTTTGACAATGAATGCAACGTCATTCCTCTTCAAGTTGTCATTCCCTGCATAGTAGATCACATGATTGTCCAATTTAAAATGGCCAATACCAGTCCATTTCAGCTCACTAATGCCTAGGATATCGATATTTATGTGTTCCATTTCATTTTTGACGATTTCCAATTTTCCTAGATTCATACTTCGTATATCCCACGTTTTGATTATTAGTGGCTGTTTGCAGCTGTTTCTTCTCATTTTGAGTCATATCACATCAGCCGATGAAGGTTCCAAAAGCTTGACTCCATCCACGTCATTAAGGTCGACTCTACTTTCAGGAGGCACCTCTTCCCAAGTAGTCTTTTGAGTGCCTTCCAACCTGGGGGGCTCATCTTCCCACACTGTATCAGACAATGTTCCACTGCTATTCATAAGGTTTTTCACTGGCTAACTCTTTTCAGAAGTAGACTGCCGGGTCCTTCTTCCTAATCTATCTTAGAAAAAGCTCAGCTGAAACCTGTCTGCCATGGGTGACCCTGCTGGTATCTGAATACCGATGGTATAGCTCCCAGCATCACAGCAACACTCAAGCCCCCACAATACGACAAACTGACAGACAGGTCCCAGTGGTACAGGTTTAATAATTCTGAAACTGCTTTCTGTATATCCTAGGTTTAAACAAGTGAGAAAATATATTGAAGATAATGGAGCAAGGTTTCTCACTGTTGGAAAAGGCATTACAAATATGGAAATGGTGAAAACTAGAATATAACCTGTAGTGGTGTTAGATTGCAATTGGAGCTATCAGTATGCACTAATAGATGCAAAACGTGTCAAATTATACACACACACTCTCACAATTACCTAGTGCTGTTGAATGGGCCAAGTAGCAATGAACACACCTGACACTCAGATTTTGGTGTCTAAATACTATTCTCCACTAAGAGGAATCAGGATTCCTTGGTAAAATGGCTGATTCGTGTTGGGATGAGGAAAGTAGAGGATAATCCTGGAACATCTTATAGCATCAGAAAACAAGATAGTGCTCAAAGAATGATGGGGACATATCAGAAGGATGTAGGAGTCAGCTTGAAGGGCCTCCTATGGTACAAATCATGGACAATTAGAGCATCAAAATAAATGATGTTCATAAAGAATTATAAAGCATCAAATACTATAAAAACCCACCAGTCCATACTGATATGAATGAATGAATGAATGAATGGAAAACACTGCCTCACAGTAGAATACCTACTCATAAAAGATGGAGTTAGAAAATCATCAATGGATACTAAAATTGGTAAGTGAAAAGTTGATGAGGAACAGGATATTTAAGTATCAAAGTTATCTCCTCACAAATTATTTATTAGTTTAAAAGAAACAATAGTAATTTGGGAAAGCCGGCAGGCATCACCTTCATCAAATGATCATTTTCCTCACTAACTTCACTGGGTCAGACTGATACCTTGAGCCTCTTTGTACTGTGCACTGAAGACATGAAGTCACTGCGGTAGTTTTCCTGCCAAAACTGCATAACCTGTACCAAGTTGTAAGGAAACAAACAAATCCATATTTCAGGGACACTCTACAAAATAATTGGCCTGTACAATTCAAAATGTTAGTTAAGACAAAAGCTCAGAAACTGTTCCAAATTACCAGTAACTTAAGATACGTGACAACTGAATACAGTAAGTGATCTTGGAATGATCCTGGACCAGGGGAAAAGAACTATAAAGGATATTATTGGGCAATTGACAAAATTTGGACTTTGGATTAGAAAATAGCATTATATTAAATGTTAAACTTCCAGATATGGTAACTATACTGTGGTTCTATGTATGTAAGTGAATGTCGTTGTTCTTAGGAGATACATACTGAAGCACTCAGGGGTAAAGCGCCACGTTTCCAATTTTCTCTTCAATTGTTCAGAAAAAAAAAAAGATAAAGCAAATGGGGACTAAATTTATTGTCATTTTTTGGAAACTCTGAAATACCAAAATAGAAAGGTATTTTAAAACAGACAATAAGCACATGATAAACGCTGTTGTTGTTGTTAGGTGCTGTCAAGCTGGTTCTGACTCATAATGACTCTATGTACAACAGAATGAAATACTGCCCGGTCCTGTGCCATCCTCACAATCGTTGCTGTGTTTGAGCCCATTGTTGTAGCCACTGTGTCAGTCCATCTCATTGAGGGTCTTCCTCTTTTTCACTGACCCTCTACTTTACCAAGCATGATGTCCTTCTCCAGGGACCGATCCCTCCTGATATGTCCAAAGTACATAAGATGACATCTCGTCATCCTCCCTTCTAGGGAGCATTCTGGCTATACTTCCTCCAAGACAGATTTGTTCATTCTTCTGGCAGTCCATGGTATACTCTTCGCCAACACAACAATTCAATGCATAAAGGCTTCTTTGGTCTTCCGCTGAATCCTACTAAGTCACACTCTTTGTTCTCATTTTTACCCATCTGGTTTAAGGCGTTAAAGCATTTCATCAAAGCATAATCTGAGAGCCTTATCAGAGAAAAGACACTTTTCCCTGTATAGGGAGGCCGAAAAAGGAGCACCTGGTGGTTTCTCAAACTCTCTGCAGAGGCCAGTCCAGCTCCCTAGTTTCCTCACCTTGTATCACTTCTAGATACACCTTGTCCTCTATGCATCTGATATGGACAGTACTTGACAGCCTACACTAACCTGTGTGCAGATGACAGATCATTTCCAAAATGGGAGGGATGTAAAGCATGTGGGGGAAACTCCTACTGGTTTTGTGAAGGGATGACAGGGCAGCTGGAGAAGAAAATCACAGCCCCAGAGAGTGAGGACCTCTGCTGTAGAGAGCTGGGTGTGACTGGGTTATTTGGCCGTGCCCTTTCCAACCTGCAAGGTCACTTTCACCCACCAGCGTGCACAGCTGGCCTTTCCCCACATCCTGGGGGGAGCATGCAGGAGTGGCACACGGAGCCCCCGTGCTAGGAAGGGCCTTGGGATGAAGGTCCTGCTTCACACCCAGAGAAAGCAAGACCTGGCTTTCCACGTACAGTTTAGAGCTTCTCTTCTCAAACCCTGGAATTCTCAAATATCTGACATCAATGCAAAAAGTTCTCACAAATTTTATTATAAAACAGAACGATGAAAGGATAAAAGTTTATATGTTAATATTTACATTATATTCAAAATATATCACAGCTTTAATTTATGACTAGAAATATCTTGTGTTTTCTTCTTTTTCTTTTCTGTTTTCTTTGCATCATTGATTTGCATCTTTACTTGATCTTGTAATTTAGAAAAGAATGCTTGTGATGACTTCAAGGCCTTGTCTTTCCCTTCATCCTGAAATTAAGAAAAACAGATGCTCATGCTACAAAATGTGCTTATAAGTGAAAAAAGTCAAATGCAAAAATAGTATGTTAAAATTACAACAACGTGTGAAAATATAAATATGAAAAGAAGACCAGAAGGAATGATTAACAATTAAGTCAGTTAGCACAGTGGTTTTTTTCCCTCTGACAGTTCCCAAACATTGCATACTGCTTATAATGCTCTTACAATTTAACGGGTGGGAGAAACGATATTGCCAGCACCCAGGATATTATGACGAGTCTACATTAAACAGTTCAGAAAGTTCAAGGCCACTTATGGCAGAATAGTCTAGCCAGTCAGCAAGGCGCCTTACTCCTGCCAGCATGCGCTGCTTTGGCTAGGCTGGGCATTCCCCCGCCCCCATCCAGCAAAGCCCTCCCCTAAGCCCCGTGAGCAGCCTCCTGTGCTCACTCATTCCCTACCTTCAATAATGCCGCTTTGCCTGCCTTCGTCAGCTTTTTTAATTTCTCTGAGGCCACTGCTTTGGTGTATTTCCCTTCCTGGTCTGGGTGGCTCTTTTCAAGCAGTTTTCTCCACTTTTCCTGCGCCTTTATTTTCAAACGCTTTTGGTATTTCTTTTTCCTTCGTTCTCGTTTCTTGTCTGTAGCTGTTTTCTCAGCAGCTGTTTTTGTATCTCCAGCTTTATTTTTTTCCTATTAAGAAATAACCACCAATATACTAGTTAATTTAATCTATTATCAATTCAGGCAATTGGAACAGAAGGAAGAATGAAAGCACTATTCCACGGCAGGCAGCCCTTGAGCCACACGTCCACGGGTGAGTGTGAGGGCGTGCGGAGCAATCCCCACCTGTTCCAAAGAGCTTTCGCCATCCGTTCTTTCAGCCTGGAATGCAGCTTCGGATAGACTGCTGTAGTTATAGGCAGCATGGAGAGCTGGGATGGCAGGCAAACAGCACTAGAGACGCCAACCCTCCACAGACTCCAGCCACGCTGAGGTGGCCCCCGCTCCCAGTTGCTAATGACAGCCACTGGGCGGAGGGTGGAGCTTCCAAGAGAACAGTGGCAGGGAAGGGAAACATCTATCCTCTTTTCTCCTCTCAGCTGCCAGCCTGTCCTGCCAGGGGTGTCGCCTGCACTGGGGGACAGACAGTCTGACAGAGACGTGGGAGGGGAGGGGGGCGTAAAAGAGGACTGTGCTGCTAAGCTCGCCAGGAAGATAAGGCCCTGACAGAAACCATCACTACCTTGTAAGGCATGGTCTTAAATGCTCACAAGCAACCTGTGTTTTGTACATCCATCCAACTTCTTTCAATACCCAAATGCTCAATTCTAGAACCTGATTCCATATGGATAAGCATTCAAATGACAAAATAAGAGAAAAATGCTGATATTAAAACATTGCTAGTATATAAGCAATATAAGCAATTGGTTTTCAATCTAACATCACTGCTATTATTCAAATTGGATTATAACAAGATACTGACAACATGGATATATAAAAACTGCTTTTATATTATTCACATATCCTATGAAAATGGGACACTGCAATTCGAATATTATAACATTATTAGTTTGATTCTATTTAGAAAGAAACTACTGAGATATACTATAATAAAAACTACAAACTCAAGGCAAATGACATTAAATAAACAGAGATCTGGGTATAAACAACTAATTTATAAACAGATACTCAGCTTTAACATTGGCTTCTTACCTTGATTTCCTCGGGGGCCAGGAGAGCTGCGTCACTCACGCTCACTGGGGCTACTTCCTCCATGGCTATGGCCGGCAGATTCGACACAACTTTAATCTCAGGTGCAGGCTAGATGGAGACAAATACATTTAATTAACAGGAAGTCAGAAGGAGTCCTAACATAAAATATTTAAATTGTAAACCTATTGATTTAAAGTATAGTGCATAAAATGCTTTGCAGAGGTTATTTAAAATGATAGATGCTGACATCAGAAGTCTTTGATAACAGGAATGACAGCAGTGTTGGTGGCAGCTAGAGGTTGCCTCAGGCATCCAATACCTGGGTGTTTTAATGTCTTCTCTGTCTCAAAACTATTGCAATAGCACTTATTCCTACACTTCTGCACGACATGATGGCCATATTCAAGTACCAGTTGTTTCCTCTGTTACCAAACTATTCCTTACTTGCCACATATGTAGACACTGTGAACAATAACATTATCTTGCCTTTAGTTGGAGCCCTGGTGGCGCAGTGGTTAAGAGCTACAGCTGCTAATCAAAAGGTCAGCAGTTAGAGTCCACCACTGCTCCTTGGGAACCCCATGGGGCAGTTCTACTCTGTCCTACAGGGTCTCTATGAGTTGGAATCGACTTGACAGCAATGGGTTTGTTTTTGGTTTTGCTGTTAGTCATGGAAAAAAAAACTAGGGATAAGATAGACTTATGGAAAAAGATTCAAGGAAAAATGCTTAGAGGAACAAGTGTCAAAATACTGACTTCCTGATAAATTTTCTTGTTTTTCGGCAACTGAAAACATAAATACTAAATTGTGTTGAACTGTTTTGAAATACAAAACAGTATCAAGATAAATCAAACCTATCAATTAAAAAAGTGAGAAATGAATGCAACACTAACTAAAGAGCCATTTTTTTGTTTGTTTAGTTTTCGACTTTTTCCTTATCTTTGAAATACAGGAAGATACTGTCAGTGGCAACAAATGGCCAGCAGCTACTGTTTGTGGACGCTCACACTAGTCAAAGTCATTACGTTTACCTCCCGCACATCTGTGAGGAGCCCAGAGAGAAGAACGTGCTCTGAGCACTCTGCTGCCAGTAGGGAGGAAGAGAGGAAGTGGGGGGAGTGGTGAGGACTCACCCCCTCCTCCCCACTCATCCTCACAGCCCCGTCCATCATTTCAGTTAATTAGATCTATATTTGCCCTAGGGAACTTCATAAAGAGGAAAAACAAAACACAACCACTTGACAGGACCCTAGATCGATAGGTAAGAGATAAACGTCACAGCTAATTATTTCTTCCACTGGCCTGCTGCTCCATTATGTATTAGGAACACTGTGCTTTATTCTAAAATTTAAAAAGAAATACGGAGAAAATGAAGACTGCGCAAGAAACAAGAAACGATGGCTGAAGAACTCGTCAGCGCCGTCTGCGCGGCGGCTGTGCAATAACCACCCAATTACGCAAAAAGTAACACCAAGGGGGACCTATGCCAACAAGCCTGCAGTTCTCAAAAGGAAAAAAGTAAGGAATGCTTTTAACTTGGAGCCGGAAGGCACAAATACATTCAGTCCTCATTCAACTCTCAAGGCTCCAGGGAATGTCTGAGGCTTCCCTGCGTCAGGCTCCACACTAGTGTGAGGGACACAGCAGTGCAACAGTAGTAACAAAACAAACACGCTCTGTGTCGACTTGAAGAGATGAGGAAAGACAAACAATGAACAAACAGCAACTGCCAGCGTGCTCTGGTGCTATGAAGGGAGAGAGCAGAGGAGGGTCAGAGACGCGGGGGTGGGTGCTGCAGCCGGCCACTGGGAGAAAAGGGCCAGGGAGGGTGTCCAGGATGGAGGAGACGGAAGGAACCACCCATGCAAAGACAGAAGAGCAGCCTAATGGGTCAGGGGAGGTGCACAGTAAGACGGCTGCGAGGAAGGGAGGAACCAGGATACTGAAGGAAACGGAAGACGGTCACGGTGGCTGGAGGGTAGCAGGCTATGGGGAGCGTGACCTGCAATGCAACCAGAGGGGCAGGAGGGGACCAGATCAAGCAGGCCTTGTAAGCCATGGGGAAGGAGTCTCAGTTTGATTCTGCGGGTGATGAGACGTGACCGAAGGGTTCACATCCTTTACATCAGTAAGAGCTTTTCACAATAAGACCTGCTGACCAAATGAGGTTGAGAAATCGCACTCTTTATCTGTTTTACACAGCCCCATGCTAGGCACTTTGTGAATCTAAAGATGAGTCCTGCCATCAAAAGCTTACTCTCATGTAAATTATACCTTAATTGAAAAATTAAAACAGAACAAAAAAACAGGCAAAAAAAAAGCTTGCTGTCTCTTCGAGAAGACAAAACACTCACATAAGATAAACCCCAAGAATATGGCCCCTGGACACCCTTTTAGCTCGGTAATGAAGTTACTCCTGAGGCTCACCCTTCAGCCAAAGAACAGAAAGGACCATAAAACAAAACCAGACTGAAAGGGCACACCAGCCCAGGTGCAAGGACAAGAAGGCAGGAGGGGACTGGAAAGCTGGTGATTGGGAACCCAAGGTTGAGAACGGAGAGTGTTGACATGTTGTGGGTTTGGTAACCAATGTCAAAAAACAATATTTGTATTAATTGTTTAATGAAAAGCTAGTTTGTTCTGTAAACCTTCATCTAAAGTACAAAAAAAAAAAAAAAAACCCTCACACAAGAAAAATCACCTACCCATTGAAGAATCAGAAAGAAAGGACCTTGGAGATGACCTTCTTCCATTCCGCCAGCCACACCTACTGCACAGAAGACCCGAGAAGCAACTTGCCTGAATCACAAAGCCAGACGGTGGTAAAACTAGACTCAGGTTCCGACTGCCAGCCTAGTCCTTATCTCATGGCAGCCCATGTGAGACAATAACCCAAGGATACCAGGAGGCAACAGGTGAGCAAGTACTGAAAGAACGGCACAACCACGTTCTACAGGCTCGCGGAGTGGGGAGCGGGACAGGAAGCTCCAAGGATAGACAAAACTGAACCTAGTCGGGTGGGAGTCAAAAAGACAGGAAGGACATTTGAGAGGTCTGGCCTGGCCAAGGGAGCACCACGTGGTGGAGAGCACATGGGCTCAGAGTTAGTTCTGACCCCTAACCTCCTAAGCCTTGGTTTCCTCATCTGCGAAATGAAAGTAATAGCATCCGCCTCACTGTGTTGTGGACTAAGAGTTAACATATGTAAGGATCTAATGTACAGTGGCTGGCACATAGCAGGTACTCAGTAAATGGCAGGTAGAGACACCCACACACATCCCCAAACCCTTCTCACAATGAAAATGCAGCAGCAGAGAGAGGGTGGGGGAAATGAGCAGCACTGCTGGCCAAGGCTGAGGGCCTGGAAGGGCCCACTGGAGATCAGGCTGGGTCAGTAGGTAGGAGGATCACAGAACCAGACAAGAACTCCTCCCCGTAGGAGGCCCCGCCTATAACTTATAGGGAACTACTGCAGGCCTGTAACCTGAAACCAAGTAGAGTGAGTCCCACAAAAGCTCAAAGGACTGAAGGTCACAACTGCTCTATGTACACATCTGTTATATGTTACATATTAACATACTTACAGGTTTAGGTATGAAGTGAAAGTTTGAGAGGGCATCCAATTTTAAGAAGAGAGAATCCATCATCTTCTGAATTTCTACGTGCTCTGGATTTTCTTCTTCTGTTGCTTTTTGCTTAGGAAGTTAAGTTCAACAATATCAGACTAAGCAGGTTAACATACATCACAGGACAAAACACTAACAGCCACCAAGAGGATTCTCAATTTCTCATGACCAAGGTTACAGTACAAACAAACATTCCCAAAGCAAAATTAACATACCAAACCACGATGGTGCCAGCACCTACCCAAAACGTGCGCACCTTAGGAGATGCAGGAATCATTACCTCTACCAGCTAGAACTTACAGTTTAACTCCTTTGGTATTTATTCCTGTCAAGAACTAAGGTATTAGCGTACTTTGTAAAACTATTCAAATATCCATTTCAATTGTAGGAACTCTTTTGAACTGAAATTCATTTAAGACCTATTCTGATTAAATCACACTGAAAAATTTGATAGCAATTTTCATTCCAGTATGAGCTGGAATCAACTCAACGGTGAAAAAAGGTGAATTTCATAATTCTCTTTATCCCTGCCCAAGATGCTTATTCCAAAAGGCCAAGATTGTTTTTTTAAAAAATTAAGACATGAAAAAAACAAGAATAGGAAGTGACTGGCTCCTTGCCTCCATTACCATAATGCCAGAGATGCATCTGGGTCTGTTTTCCAACATCTGCCGTCAGGGCCCACCTTCCAGCCACGTCCTGTACCACTTACTACTGCCGACTTACCGTTTCAGTTGAACTTTGTTTTTAGTTTTTGATCCTGAACGTGTCCTTTTGTCTCATCCCAGGTAACGTCCTTGCTGTTAGCTGCCCCTGATTCATGACAACCCCACGCACAATGGGTTCGGACTATAGCAATCCATAGGATTTTTACCGGCTGATTTTTGGAAGCAGATTGTCAAACCTTTCTTCCTAGTCCATCCTAGTCTGGAAGCTCTGCTGAAACCTGTTCAGCATCATAGCAACACATAAGTCTCCAATGACAGATGGGTGGTGGCTGTGCCTGAAGTGCACAGGCCAGGAATCAAACTCAGGTCTCCCACATGGAAGGCGAGAATACTACCATTGAACCACCACTGCCCCCATCCTAGGTAATGCTGTTGTTAATTTCCGACTCATGGTAACCCCATGTGTGCAGAATATAACTACTCCATAGGGTGCTCAAGGCTGTGATGTTTTGGAAGCAGACTGCCAAACCTGTCTTCTGAGGTACCTCTGGGTGGGTTCAAACCAGCACCCTTCTGGCCAGTAGTCGAGCGTTTAACCAGCTGCACCACCCAGGAACTCCTCTCCTAGGAAATATCGAAAAAAAAAAAACCAAACCCAATGCTGTTCAGTTGATTCTGACTCATAGTGACCCTACAGGACAGAGCAGAACTTCCCCGTAGAGTTTCTAAGGCTGTAAATCTTTATGGAAGCAGACCGCCGCAGCATCTTTCTCCTGTGGAGCGGCTGGTGGGTTTGAACAGGCACCCTTTCAGTTAGCAGCCAAGTGCTTTAACCACTGCACCACCAGGGCTCCTCCTCCTAGGTAACCAAACAAACCAAACCGGTTGCTGTCAAGTCGATTCCAACTCATAGTGACCCTATAGGACAGAGTAGAACTGTCCCATAGGGTTTCCAAGGAGTGGTTGATGGATTTGAACTGCTGACATTTTGGTTAGCAGCCGAGCTCTTAACCACTGCACGAGCAGGGTTCCTCCCAGGTGACAGTTCCTGTGACATCACACATTTGATATACAGGATTTCCCTGATACACATTAAATATAGAAAGTAGGGTTCATTGTGTGCTGTCTACCATCATCTCACTTATTACCTCTAGTTTGTAACCCACTTTGGGAAATACTGACCACTCACTCCCAGCCTGTAACTCCCAGGGAAAATGGCATGGATCTAGAATTAGCCTAGGGCATTTAGATTGAATCTATGATGGGCCAGAGATCTTCTAATAGGCCAGGATCCTACTCAGAGGCCCATACCCCAAAATTTCTGAACTGGCCATTGACTTCCAAGATAGAAAGGTATAAAACTTTTTTATATACCAGATATAAAAATCAGAATAAATTGACAGGAATTTTACAAAATATAGCAATAACTTCAAAAATATCATTGAGAAATGATTTAAAAATTGTAGTATTACTGTAATAGTCACTAGAAAGTGAATAACTAGCCAAAAAGTATCAAGTGACCAATGTCTAACTGCAAAATAGCAAGCTCCTCAGATTCTGTGGGACTATTACAACCTCTAAGTGATTAAGCGAAACCCTGGTGGCACAGTGCTTAAGAGCTACAGCTGCTAACCAAAAGACCGGCAGTTCAAATCCACCAGCTGCTCCTTGGAAACCCTATGGGGCAGTTCTACCCTGTCCTATATGGTCGCTATGAGTCAGAATCAACTCAACAGCAACGGGTTTGGGTTGAGTTTTTTTTTTTTTTTTTAAATGCATTTTTTTTTTAAGTGTACTTTCGATGAAGGTTTACAGAACAAATAGTTTCTCATTAAACAGTTAGTACACATATTGTTTTATGACACTGGTTAACAACCCCAAGACACATCAACACTCTCCCTTCTCGACCTTGAGTTCCCTATTACCAGCTTTCCTGTCCCCTCCTGACTTCTAGTCCTTGTCCCTGGATTGTTGTGCCCCATTAGTCTCGTTTTATTTTATGGGGCTGTCTAATCTTTGGCTGAAGGGTGAACCTCAGGAATGACTTCAGTACTGAGCTAAAAGGGTGTCCGGGGGGCCTTGGTTTGATTTTTCAAGTGGTTAAGAGCTCGGCTACTAACCAAAAGGTTGGCAGTTCGAATCTACCAGCTGCTCCTTGGAAACCCTATGGGGCAGTTCTACTCTGTCCTATAGGGTCATTACGAGTCGGAACTGACTTGACGGCAACGGGTCTGGTTTGGTTTTTATTTCTAGCACACTCTGTCTCACTCATAAATGAGATGACTGAAGAGCTCAAGATTTCTGTTTCACGAATTTCAACAGTGCCGAGAAGGCTGGTCCTCTACTTCTCTTCCTTTAATAATGGCTGTGCCTTAGAGGCTTCCTCACCTGGTTGAGTTTGATATACTCCTGTTCATAAATTTCAGCAAGGCTCAATTTACTCTTCTCGTGGTCCAGTGTTAAGCGCTTTTTATATTCATACGCTTCTTCCTTGGGTTTTTCTTTCCGCACTACATCATCCCAAGCCTGGAAGATAAAGCATGGGAAGAATATAAACTTCTAAAATCTGCGATTTATTTCTAGACTGACCTAACAGTTTTCCTCTGGAGTATTTATTATCATTCCAGAGTAAGCAGATTATAGCAAAAAGAAAGTAATTTTTAACCTTTGAAACTAGTGAAGTCACAAAGCATAGGCATTATGAAAAGGAAAAAATGTGCTACTAAAACATTTTTTTAATGTATCTTTCTCCCTGGTTATCACCTCTCATTACAAATTTCAACATCATAGTTCATTTAAAAATCGAGCTTTGAGTTTGTCTTGTTTTATTTCAAATTTCAAGATACCCTGCATATAGCACCCACCCTTCAAACACTTTATTTTAGACACAGAAGTGTAAGCCAAGATTACACGTGTTATAAAGCCATCTCTTGTTGAACAAGTCAGATACTTAAGTTTTATTCTAAGTTTATAAAATAAGATCAATTCTTAAACAAAACTCTTTATTAGGGTTTTAACATTTGAAAAAATACACACTTCACCTGCCAGACCAAATGCTGTGCCTAGACCAAGGGTCTGTGTGGGACAAGGTCAAGCCAAACACCAGCTACCACAGGGGCACTGAAGGTCAGTAAGATCTGGGTGGGAGGAGACGCGAAGGGCTCTGGCCACGTCTTTCTCCTCAAGCACAACCCTGTGGACTAGTGACAAGCAGAGCCTCACCACAAGCAGAAAATACCCTTAGTCTGGACTTCAGGCTTTTAAATGGAAAAGTGATACAAACAAAACTTACATGAAAATGAAGTTTTCTACACCCAATATAAATCTCATATTATTTCAAAAAAATTTCAGTGCATTTTAAATTAAGTTAAATTTAATTCTTTCTGACCTGATCTCTTATCCTCTGCTTAATGATATCTTCTAGTTGAAGGGTGGTTTCCTCTGTGATCACAGGTGCTAAAGAAACAAAAACATGGTATACTCGGGTAGATATAAACGAGAACAGTGGCTCTCAAAGAGTGATTCTAGGACCAGCAGCATTAGTAACACCCAGGAACCTGCTAAAAGTCCAAACTATTGAGTCCAACCCAGACCTAGGTATCAGAAAGTCGGCGTAGGGAAACAGCAATCTGTATTTTAACAAGCTCTTCGGACAATCACTCAAGTTTGAGAACCACAAACTAGCGTATATGTGGTAATAAGCGCTAACAGTTTTAACCCAGGCAGCTGGTGACTCTGCCTTTTTTCCTTTCTTTCCTGCACTGAAATAAAATGGAAACTCATTTGACTTAATGGGTACAAGAGAGAACTCATTAGATGACCAGGGTTTCCGACTGAAGTTCAAAATGTGATCAGTGGACACGGCCAGCAGGTAAGCCTTGTAAATAAACTGATTGTGGACTATACATCAGGTGTTATTAGTATGTTGAAGTTAAACATCTTGGGTGTATTCACAGTATTATGGTTCTATATGAGAATGTCCTAATTCTTCGAAAATACATGTGAAAGTACTTAGAAAGGAAGTGCCCTGATACAAGCAACTTACTTTCAAATGATTCAGGGAAGAGTTGTACACACATATACATAAGGGAGAGAAAGCAAATGAGGCAAAGTGTGAACCATTAGTCAATCTAGTTGAACAGCATACAGATGTTCACTGTACTATTTTTTTAATTTCCTGTCTCTTTTCAAGCTTTTAAAATAAAAAGCTGGGGAAAGAGAAACTCCAAACCTTTCTATGAAACGAAACCATAGAAAAAGCGCAGAAAACAAGCGCCTGCAGAGGTTCAGGAACACACGTACCCATGCGGATTGCGTGGTCAAAGTGCAGGGTCTCCTCTAGGAGGCTGTTTTCCGGTCTCTTCTGTGCTGTCACTTCCCCTAGAAGCTGCCATGGTTTTTTTTCCAACAATTCTTTTTCTAAAGATGCAATCTTTTCATTCATCTAAGAAAAAGTTATTACACATTTAGGAAACAAAATTAGCCTTAAATTTGTATAAAAGCAACTACTACAGGCATACCTTGGAGATATTGCAGGTTCAGTTCCAGACCACCGCCGTAAAGCGAATATGGCAATAAAGCAAGTCACATGAATTTTTTAATTTCCCAGTGCACATAAAAGTTGTTTACACTATACTGTAGTCTATTAAGTGCACGATAGCATTGTGTCTAAAAAAAAAGTACGTATCTTATTTAAAAAATACTTCATTGCTAAAAAATGCTAACCATCATCTCCGCATTCAGCGAGTCATGGTTTTGCTGGTGGAGGGTCTTGCCTCAACGCTGATGACTGCTGACGAATCAGGGTGGTGGCTGCAAAAGGTTGGGGTGGTTGTGGCAATTTCTTAAAATAAGACAACAATGAAGTTCACTGAATCGATTGACTCATCTTCATGAAAGATTTCACTGTATTGTGATACTGATAGCATTTTTTTTTTTAAATTGTGCTTTATGTGAAAATTTACAGCACAGGTTGGTTTCTCATTCAAAAATTTATATACAAACTGTTTTGTGACATTGGTTACAATCCCCTCAATGTGTCTGCACTCTCCCTCCTTCCCTTTACACCCCAGGTTACCGGTGTTCGTTCGTCCAAGCTTCCTGTCCTTCCTGCCTTCTCATCTTTCCTTTTGGGCAAGTGTTGCCCGTTTGGTCTTGTATACTTGATTGAACTAAGGAGCATGTTCCTCACATGTGTTACTGCTTGTTTTATAGGCCTGTCTAATCTTTGGCTCCAATGTGGATTTTGGGAATGGCTTCAGTTCTGAGGTAGCAGGGTGTCCGGGGGCCATAGTCTCAAGGCTTCCTCCAGTCTCTGTCAGACCAGTTAAGTCTGGTCTTTTATTGTGAATTTGAATTTTGTTCTACTTTTTTCTCCTGCTCTATCTGGGTCCCTCTATTATAATCCCTATCAGAGCCGTTGGTGATGGTAGCTGGGCACCATGTAGTTCTTCTGGACTCAGGTGGTGGAGGCTGTGGTTCATGTGGTCCATTAACACTTTGAAGTGATACTTTCCTTGTGTGTTTGGTTTTCTTCATTCTCCTTTGCTCCAAATGTGATTTTAAGACCCTCGACACTACTCACCAAAGTAGGATCTAGAACATTTCCTTTATGAACTACGTTATGCCAACTGACCTAGACGACCCCCAAGACGATGATAATCAACCTCAGCCCCAGTAACTTGACCCCTCAAGGTGTTCGGATGTATCTAGGAAGCTTCTATGACTTTGCCTTGCTCATGTTCTGCTGACTTCCCCTATATTGTGTATTGTCTTTCCTTTCACCAAATTTAACACATCCCTACTACCTAGTTAGTGATTTCCCTTCCCCACCCTCCTAACCATTAAGATTGGTTTTCTCTGTGTGTAAACCTTTTCTTGAGTTTTTAAAATAGTGATCTCATGCAATATTTGTCTCTTTGTGACTGACTTATTTTACTCAGCATAATGCCCCCAGATTCATCCATGTTGAGCTGTTTCTTGGGTTCATTATTGTTTTATATCTTGCATAGAATTCCATTGTGTGTATGTATCATTAATTTGTTTACCCCTTCCTCTGCTGACGGGCACTTAGGTTGTTTCCATCTTTTTATTACTGCGAATAACGCTGCAATGACCATGGGTGTGCATATGTCTATTCCTGTGATGGCTCTTATTTCTCTAGGGTATATTCCTAGGAATGGGATTGCTAGATCATACAGTATTTCTATTTCTAGCTTTTTCAGGAGGTGCCATATCACTTTGAACAGTGGTTGTACCATTCTACATTCCCACCAGCAGTGCGTAAAGAGTTCCTATCTCCCCGCAGCCTCTCCAACATTTGTTATTTTCGACTTTTTTCATTCGTGCCAGTAATGGTGGAGTGAGACGGTATCTCATTGCAGTTTTGATTTGCATTTCTCTAATGGTTAATGATCATGAGCATTTCCTCATGTGTCTGTTAGCCGCCTGAATGTCTTCTTTGGTGAAATGTCTGTTCATATCCTTTGCCTATTTTTTAACTGGATTATTTGTCTTTTTGTTGTAGAGGTGTTGGATTTTCCTGTAGATTTTAGAGATTAGAGCCTTCTCAGATACGTTGTAGCCAAAATTTTTTCCCCACTTTTTAGGTTCTCTTTTTACTCTTTTGGTGAAGTCTTTTGATGAGCATAAATGTATAATTTTAGGAGCTCCCAGTTATCTGGTTTATCTTCTGGTGTTCATGCATTGCTAGTTATGATTTGTATTGAATTTATGCCATGTATTAGGGCCCCTAGCATTGTCCCTATTTTTTATTCCATGATCTTTATCATTTTAGGTTTTATATTTAAGTCTTTGATCCATTTTCAGTTTGTTTTTGTATACAGTGTGAGGTATGGGTCCTGTTTCATTTTTTTACAGATGGACACCCAGTTCTGCCAGCATCATTTGTTAAAAAGACTGTCTTTTCCCCCATCTAATGGATTTCAGTGCTTTGTCAAAGATCAGCTGACTATAGATGGATGAATTTACACCTGGGTTCTCAATTCTGTTCCACTGATGTATGTGTCTGTCGTTGTAGCAGTACCAGGTTGCTTTGACTACAGTGACTGTATAGAAGGTTCTAAGATCAGGTAGTGTGAGGCCTCTTTGTTTTTTTTCTTTAACAATGTTTGGCCTATCTGGGGCCTCTTTCCTTTCCATATAAAGTGGGTAATTAGTTTTTCCATCTGGTTAAAGAATGCTGTTGGTATTTGGATCAGGATTGCATTACAGCTGAGATTGCTTTGGGTAGGTTTGACATTTATGGAATGTTGAGTCTTCCTATCCATGAGCATGGTATGCTTTTCCATGTACATAGGTCTCTCTTGGTTTCTTGCAAAAGTGTTTTTGTAGTTTTCTTTGTATAGGTCTTTTACATCCCTGGTTAGATGTATTCCTAAGTATTTTCTCTTCTTAGCGGCTATTATAAATGGCATTGTTTTCCTGATTTTCTTTTCGAAGTTCTCTTTGTTGGTGTATAGGAATCCAACTGATTTTTGCATGTTGATCTTATATCCTGCTGAATCTTTCTGTAAGTTCCCATAGCTTTTTGGGCAATCTTTAGGGTTCTCTATGTATAGGAACATAACATCTGCAAATAGGGATAGTTTTACTTCTTCCTTTTCAATTGGGATGCCTTTTATTACTTTTTCTTGCCTTGTAATTCTAGCTAGGACTTCCAGCAAAATGTTAAATAGGAGTAGTCATAAAGGGCATCATTGTCTTGTTCCTGTTCTCAGGGGGAATGCTTTCAGTCACTCTCTGTTGAGAATGATGTTGGTTCTTGGTTTTGTATAGATGCCCTTTATTATGTTGAGGAACTTCCCTTCTATTCCTATTTTATGAGGAATGGGTGTTAGACTTTATCAAATGCCTTTTCTGTGTCGACTGAGATGATCATGGGATTCTTTTCTTTTGTTCTATTTATGTGGTAGATTACACTGACTGATTTTCTAATATTGAACCATCCCTGCAACTTGGTATAAACCTCACTTGGTCGTGGTGTATTATTCTTTTTATATGATGCTTAAATCTATTGGCTAGAATTTTGTTCAGAATTTTTGCATCTATATTCATGAGCGATATTAGACTGTAATTTTTTTTGTGGTGTCCTTTGCCTGGCTTTGGTATCAGGGTTATGCTGGTTTCATAGAATGACTTTGGGAGTATTTCTTCCTTTTCTATGCTCTGAAACAGTTTGAGTAGTACTGGTGTGAGCTCTTCTCTGAATGTTTGTTAGAATTCTCAAGGGAAGCCGTCTAGGCCGAGGCTTTTTTTTGTTGGGAGTTTTTGATTACCTCTTCAATCTCTTCTCTTGTTATGGGTCTGTTGATTTTCTATCTCAGCTTGTGCTGGTTTAGGTAGGTACTGTGTTTCTATAAATTTGTCCATTTCTCTAGGTTCTCAAATTTGTTGGAGTACAATTTTTCATAGTATTCTGGTATGATCCTTTTTATTTCAGTTGGGTGTGCTGTAATGTCCCCAATCTCATTTCTTATTTGGGTTATCTGTTTCCTCTCCTGTTTTTCTTTTGTCATTTTGACCAATGGTTTGTTGATTTTTTTGAAGAACCAACTTTTGGTCTTGTTGAGTCTATTTTTTTTTGTTCTCTATTTCATTTATTTCTGCTCTAATCTTTATTATTTCCTTTCTTCTGTTGCCTGTGACTTCTTCTGCTGTTCTCTATTTGTTTCAGTTGTAGGGCTAATATTTTTATTTTTTATTCCTTTTTGATGTGTGCATTTATTGCTATAAATTGACCTCTGAGCACTGCCTTTGCTGTGTCCCAAAGGTTTTGGTATGTTCTGTTTTGATTCTCATGATTCTAGGAATTCTTTTATTCCTTTCTTTGATTTCTTCTATTACCCAGTTGTTTTTAAGCAATGTGTTAGTCAGTTTCCACATATTTGATTGTTTTTCTTTGCTCTTCTGTTACTGATTTCTACTTGTATGACGTTGCAATCAAAAAGAATGCTTTGTATTATTTTGATGTTTTTGATTTTAATGACGGTTGCTTTGTGTCCTACGATGTGGTCTATTCTGGAGAATGTTCTATGTGTTGGAAAAGAATATATACCCTGCTGCTGTTGGATAGAGTGTTCTATATACATCTGTGAGGTCAAGTTGGTTCATTTTGACCTTTAGATCTTCTGTATCCATGCTCAGTTTCTTTCTAGGTGTTCTGTTCATTACCAAGAATGTTGTATTGAAGTCTCCTACTACTACTGCAGAACTATTTCTCTTTTCATTGCTGTTAGAGTTTGTTTTATATATTTTGGTGCCCCACTGTTGGGTACACAGACATTTTATTAAGGTTATGTCTTCTTGGTGTGTTGTCCCTTTAAACGTTATATAATGTCCTTCCTTGTCTTTTATGGTTGATTTTGCCTTAAAGTTGGTTTTATCTGAGATTAGTATTGCCACTCTGCTCTTTTCTGGTTAGTA